CACGACATCAGCCCGCCTGCCCACCTGACCCAGTCGAAGGTCTTGCCTTCGATGCTTGTTGGTTTTCGTATCCCTCCAGGGATTTCTGATAAACACGTACCTGGATGCCAGGCACCAGTCTCCATGGGAAATTCTTATTATGTTTCTTGTAGAACTTAAACATACGACTCTTTCCGGTTTATTTGTTTCGCTGCATCTAATCCCGCTTTACAGATGAGGAAACCCCTTGCAGAGAGGGAGGTTGGCTTAGCGGACCGCGCGAGGAAGCGCAGAGCTGGGAAGTGAAGTGCTTGTGGCTCCTGAGGCCAGCGTGTTGTAGTGGGTCCGTCTGGCTCGTCTACCAGGCGAAGCGTTGTGTGTGGGCCTGGAGGCGGGATGTGAACCCAGGCCTCCTGACCGCCCATGCTCTTCTGCCACGTGGTCTAACCCGTCTCAGGTTGGAGCGCCAGCTCTGAGTTCGTGGGGGGGCCAGGGAACACGCACTTGGGTTTGGGCATTGGTGTTGTCCCCGCCTGGCACAGCTCTGGTTGGTCAGAGCCCAGAGCTGGTTTCCAGGTTGTGGTCACTGGGCCGCAAACGCCAGCCCGGCCTACGGTCTTGCTGGTGACGTCAGCGGGCTCCAGCCTCAACTCAGAGGTGATGGAGAGAGTCCCTGTGCTGTGGCAGTTACGCCGCTGTTTACAGTGATGAGTGCCTTCCTGATAACAAAGCACTCTTAGCGAGACTATTTTCATGAGATGCTTACAATGGCTCTGTGAGGAAGGGGGCCAGCCAAATGTTACCCCCTCACTTCACAGATGCAGAACAGGCTTAGAAACGTAATGACCTCTCCCAGGTAATGCAACCAGAAATTGACAAATTCCAGACCCGCACGCAAGACCCTCCTGATTGTAAATCCATGACCTCGAGTTGCCTCTGAGTAATAAATCTGTCAACTTTGCTTCTTCCTCTCTGGGTCTCGTAGTCATCTAGGCACCTGTAGGGGGCGAGAGAGGTCTTTCCTATTTGGCTGTTCTGAGAACTTTTGCTTCTGGACCATTTGAACTTATCACCCATATAGCACATTAGCTCACTGGGTCATAAGTATTTTCTGTGTCTATGTCGCCTAGTACCCTGATTCCTCCCGCCCCAGCTTGAATTCTTTCAGATTGGGACTCTTCTGTTACGTCTTGACGTTCAACACAATGTGGGACCCAGTAAGTGCTTACTGAGTTGAATTACATGCAAATGAAATTGGTCAGTACCTCCTCCTGCTTTCGTTAGAGCATGGGAAGGAAAGTAAACTTTTTTCCTGGTCCATCCAAATGAATTAAAGTTGAAGGTGGCGGAACTCAGAACATGTGCAGTATCCCCAGATGGCCACGAGGTGGCAGTGTGACCCCACAGGAAACTTGCCTCCTGCTTGCTCCTTAGGAGACTGAACTATCTGGGCACCTGTCTGGGGATTGCCTCTGCAAGGTCAGTCTGCACTTGCCTGTCTGGAACTGACAAGTCTCAGCCTCCAGCTCTCCTTTTAAAGACTCGTATCACGGAAAAGGCTTGGGCTTTAGAACCCACCATGCTTAGATTCCAACCCTGGCTCTGCGTTTCCCTAGGAACTTAGCCCTGGACACGCTATTTGTCTGAGCCTCAATTTCCTCGTCCCATAAAATGGCAGTTGCATCTTGTTGACACGAGCACTGGGTGTTGTTGTATGTAAGTGACGAATCAC